TACAAATATCGTGGTATGTCTGGATAATGAAGAGGCGTCACTACGATTGCACACTGGCTACCTAAGCTCATCCAGCTCGGTCAAGATTGCAGAATTTCAGGAACTGAGGGAAAATTGGAAAAGTAGAGTGCAATCTTCGAGAGAGGTAGAGGTTGCGGTGAAAATACAATGGGTTCCAGGTTACGCAGGGATCAAAGAAAACGAGCGTGTAGACGTATTAGCTAAGGAGGCCTGCAGCGAAACAACTACACGGACAAAAGCCTCATAAAGGAGCGGCACGAGAGTAGCATCACCCGATATTGGAAGTACCACGCTCCGAGTAGATATCGGAGTCTGAAGATACCTATTACAGGAAAAATGCCTGAGGAATTCCAGGTTTTATCTCGGAAAAATCTCGCATTACTCCTTGCTGCCCGCTCCGCTCACGGAGACTACGCCACGTATCACGGACGCTTCCAGCACCAAGACGCCAAGCTATTGTGTATCTATGGAGAGGAAAAGGCTCCGGAACATCCCTTTTTAAGCAGGAAACTTGACCAAAGTAAAACTCCTAGACAACGTCCATCTCGCGGTAAGGAGGGGGACATCATGTGGATTCTCGGCACAACAACAGGGGCGAAAGAATTCGGGAAATGGTGCAACACAGCTCATCCATACAAACAACAAGGTGTCACAGTGTAGAGGCAAGATTAGTGGTGACAATGATAGGATTGCCTTTAAACAACTGCACAAATTTGTAATTTAATCATAGTAATTTAAAAAAAAGGGGGGGAGGATCAAGGAGTTAGGCATTGAGGAATTGACACGAATAGACTGGGCTAGAGCTCTACCTTGCATTAATATCGAGCATTAATTGCGAAAAAAGAGAGGGTACTGTAGTTTTTAGACGATAGAATTGTCCGATAGTAATAGGCTATGCGGACACGCTAAACGCCTATTCTTGGACATAGAGGCCGGGTCATACCCGTGAGCCTACTTGGCGTTAAATGCAAACAAACAACAATCACATTGCACCGTGAAACACTTGTCGCATGCACTGGATCCGTCAAAGAATATCGCCAGAACTTTCCGAGGACATTATCCCTCCACCGTGGTTGTCATCCCGTGAAGAAAAGCTTATCGAAATTGGGGCAGTAGGTAGACTCCTGCGACCAAATTCCTTCAAACAATGGCAGGCTACACGACCTACCCTAGACTTATTCGTATTCTCCGACGGAGCTCTAATAGAAGACCGAGCAGGTGCGGGCTATGTCATCTACCGAGGTCTTACGCTGGAGATTGGGCGAGGATCATTCCCGCTCGGAAACTCGGCAGAAGTATATGATGCAGAAATTGCCGGGGCCACTGAAGATCTTGCCGCAGCTCTTCGCAACCCACTGGCCTATTATGCCTCTAACGTCACTGTCTGCCTTGACAACCAGGAGACTGCCATCCGTCTGCTCATGGACACATTCACAGCGTCTAGCTCGGCGAAAATATTTATCTTTCATAAGCTCGCAATAAACTGGAAAAGAAGATCACGTAGTCAAAATACGACGCCTGGGAAAATGGCTATCCGATGGTGCCCAGGCCACGTAGTGTTATATTAACTAGGCCATATGGGAGCAGGACGATGGATACTCTTGGGGAAGTTATGCTCACAGTAGGTCTCTATAGTCGCTGTCGCGTATGTTCTCGTGATATGTAAGACTTGACTCTATATTCTCGTATAAAGGAAACTTAGTTACAATGAATGGACGGAGGTTGAGACCTCCTTATATCTTGCTCCAGACTTACTGTGTTGTTCACAGCCTAGTGCTAGAACATTCTCTTATGATATCATTTCCCTCCTACGAGAAATGAACAGCTCGTTCTCTCTCAGTCTCTCGCTGATTCCTTTATCTCTATTCCATCGAGTTCTAGTTTGGTCCATAATACCCACATATGCATTACACACTAAACACCCCACGGTTTAGTTCCACAGTCACGTGCATATGCTATGACGCGACCTAAAGCATGTACCATGGTAAGCTACATCGATAACACAACACGTAGGTATTCTCGGGAACGAAGCGGCCGACACGCTTGCTAACGCCGCCTGTGCGGCTCCAGCTCCACACTTAGAACTCTCCATTGCGAGGGCAAGGAGAGAAGTCAAAGCCCAATACGAGGCTTCAGTCGCACAATATTGGGTAGAAAATGTCCCTTCTAGATATAAGGAGCTAGGAATTGGCCCTAACACGAAAATCACCGTTGAGCTCGCCTGTCTGGGGCGACGCGCATTAGGATATCTTCTAGCTGCACGGTCCGGTCACGGCGACTTCGCGGACTACCACCGACGCTTTCAGCATGAAAATGCTACTCTTACCCGCTCATGCGGAGAAGTCCCCCGACCAGTTTTTCTATCGCCACCTCGGGCAGTACCAGGCAGAGCTCTACAGGGCTCAGATCTTCAATCCCACCATATCTTGGGCTCTTGCTACAGCGGAGGGAGCTCGTGCATTCAGTAGCTGGGTGCATGACACAAACTTTTTTCGAAAAGCACAACAACAAGCCTGACGAGAATGAAGTCATGTAATAAAAGCGTGAGAGCTTTAAAGCGACGCAACCAATATTTCTCCTTACTAATTTTACTTCTTTGCTTTATATTCTCTATGGAATAATATCTGCAAACCATAAGAGTCAACGGGAGGCTGATATTCATTTTTAATTAAATCTTCGAGCACAGGATAATAAGATCCTGGTTTTCATTTGCTATGTTGGATCTATGTAGGCGCCAACACGTCGGGTAGTTTTATTTAGACTTAGGGCATGACCCTCATCATCTATTGGCAAAAATTAAGCACAACTATATACAAATTTACAATTAACTTTAAAGCTATTTAGATAGTTTTAGCTGTCCTTCATGGTCATAGACTCAGTAGGGACATAAATAAAATTCTATTCTATTTAGACTGAGCTAACCAGCACGTGAGGAGCTCACGTGCTGTGCGCGGGCACGACGCTAATTATTTGAATTTGAATTCATTGCCCTGATTTGGCGCCCTATGGGCTCATGCAGGTCTACAATCTGTAATATTTACCCGGGAGGAAACCTTTATGGTGAAAACATCCCACGCCTTTCTACTTGTTGTCTATAGTTCTCACAAATTTTCTTCAGGAAGCGCAGTTACACTATAGTGCCATCCATGTAAACCAACCAGATCATCTCTATCCTCCCCAAGCATAACTTGACCGATTCCTTTCCCTCAGCAGCATTTCGACCGCCTTTGTCATCTGGAATTGCTCTATCCAACCATGATTTAGGATCCACCGTGTTATCCTTTTGATGTCTTCAAGATTATTTATCATCGCTTCGTGGGACCGATCTTTGTCTTGTCTCCAGATCTCAGCTCTACCATTTGACCATCGGGGGCAGGACATAATCATATGCTTGGGGTTCTGTGATTGCTAGCCGCATGGACAACCTGGACTTGATACTTCGGGTACTTTTCTTCTGTGTAAATACTAGTTAAGCCCCATGTGCTCACTTCGTATTTGCATCGCCAAACTGGTTTGGGCCCTTGTCAGGTTACGATATAGAAAGAATGGTGATCCTTGAAAACTCAGATTTTGCCGTTCAGACTCTCAACTCTGGTAAAATTTGGCTGCTCTCCAAGTTTCGGGATCTGCAGTTGCTAACTGCCGAGGCTTCCGAGTTTGATTCAGCTTGGCCCAGGATTTCGCCTACTCTTGGTATGACATAACTTTAACTATCTTTGTATTATTTTATATTATTTTTTGGATAGATCGTTCTGTGGAAAAGGTGGCTGAATTCCAGGGTAAACACTGAGCTGAATGGATATTCATCACTGGCAATATATCAATGATCTTTGAAGTGACAAAAGAGGATAGGAGCACAGTACAAGGTGTGGTCTGAGTCAGAAAGAAGCCCAATGTGTTGGATAGTCGTGGACTCAAGTAACACAGTAAACATACACGCTGAATGATATAAAACAGTCAACTCTTTGATGTTACATTACAATGAGGCTGAAGATGCCAAAGATCGTTTTAGGACTAGCCTCTACAGTACACTACTGCACTAAAAGGTTTACGTTCGTCAAGTCGCTGGTAGTATTTGCATAATTATCAATGTTGCACAAGCATTAGCCAAATCATTTGCTTCCACAGAAAAGCTATCCTCGGTGATAATTCTCTGACATTTTCTTTGAAAGTTCCTGCAATTTGTTGTACCAAGAAATGTCTCGTAATTTGCTGCGACCATGCCTTTCTATCAAGCGCCCGCTGTGGACCACATCCCCGCGATCAATCTCTCATTATCAACGTCGTCTAAATCGCCTTCTTGATCGAGTGCCGAGATTCATGCGCCCTTACACGAGCGCCCTGCAGGCAGCGCCTATTTCACATATAGCATCATTCCTAGTCTTACACGAACTAACAGCCATCATACCGCTCATAGGACTTGGCCTTGGATTTCATTATTCTGGCTGGCTACCCGAAGGCTGGACCCAGGGGAAGTGGCTGAGTGATGGGTTGAAAAAGTTTTCAAATTATTTCGGTCGCAAGAGCTGGTTCGGATTCGAACAGATACAAGAGAGTAAAGAAACTTTGGTGTATAATGACCAACAAGAATTTTCAGCCTCTAAGACGAAGCTAGACATGGCACGGATCGAGAGAAAATGGTTTATGGAATCAAATGGCAAGAAGATTCTGATCGAGGTTGCCACAGCTTATGCTATTACCAAGGCCCTGTTACCAGTAAGAATCTTGTTCAGTATTTGGGCTACACCATGGTTTTCCAAAACAATTTTAAAGTCATTTAGGGGCACGTCACTTGGTCTCAGAGTCATGTGCGGTGTTACTTTATTGAAAAGAATCCTTACCAAAAGTTCCAAGTGAAGGGCTACAGATTATTGACGTCCAATTTTTCTTTAAGGCAAATATTTCAAGTAATTTTGTATAATATGTCAAGCGTAAGATTGCTATTTATAAATTTGAAATTTACGAAATAATTTTATAGTCTACGGCTTCTCATAAACCCAGTCATTTTGGGCAGATTTCCAGGATTGTATCTCTCCTTCACTGAACCAAATAGAAATTTCTTTCTGTGCGTTCTCAACGCTATCAGAACCGTGGCATACATTACGACCAACGTCAAGAGCATAGTCACCACGAATGGTCCCTGGTAGGGATGCAAGAGGGTTGGTAGCACCAAGAATCGCTAGAAGCCAGTTAGTCAACGTTGTAACATGTTAATTATTGGGGACATACTCCGTCCAGTCTTGACGGCATCACGGCCTTCCCAGATCATAGCGCAAATAGGACCACTTCCCATATCTTTTCGAAGTATTGTTAGCTTCAGAATTTTTTGATTGTTGTGGAGACAAACATGTTATTAGCCCTGAGAAAAATGGCTTGTCGGAAAGATCCTGATCTGTTTTTAAAAAATCAGCAAATTACGACTTGCTTTGTATATGACGAACAGTGTTCCTTAAGCTTTTGTTCATTGGCAGATACGAGTTTGATTCCCACTAGTTTAAATCTTCAATAATTTAGCATATTTTCCATTTGCTTCTCCATATATTCCTGAAGCGCACCCTCGAGCCTCAAAACGAGAAATTATGTGGCCTATTAGACCTCGCTACACAGTAAATCAGCAAAACGATTATTGAAACACGAAGTTGTAAATTACCTGGACACCATCAGGTTTAACGGCGATAAAGCTGTAGAATGTTATTAGTGATGGGGTTGAAGTGGGTTAATTATACGTCGACCTACGTTCGCTCAGTGGTAGCCATTTCGTGCGATGCTTCCTTCTGCTTTTCTGAGGCTCGGAGTAAACCTTGAGTCTTAGGACTTAGCTTTTTAAATATCTCGGGATCTTCTGATTGCTGATTGCTCGCCATTGGTAACTGAGAGAATAAATAGTAGTTGAAAAGGATGAGGGGTTTGAAAATAATTAGCCTCAGGCTGTTTAGCCCATCAGGTGCGGGGTCAGGCCAGCACTATTATGTGGACAGGAAGCGGTTTAGCAAATTCAGCGGCTAGTGAGACAAATGTTGCCAGGATGGTCTCGAACACATTTACTGATGAACTTAGCTAGCAATTTGATAGTTGTGAATGATGAAGTGATGAATATATGTCAATTTTTAGATGAGCTTGTACTACTTTATTTAGTTTGAAGTCCTCAGCCGAAACCTTCTCTCTATTTAGATGTAGGACTGGTGAAGCCGGCCGAGATTTACCCTTCAGGCTAGCTCTGCTCGTTCACACCCATTTTAGAGCTAACAATTTTTGAACGCATTGAATAAATAATTTAGTGAAGGGAAAATGAATGAACAAAAGAAATAATAATTGGTGTTGGAAAAAAAAACATCATTTTTGCCAGAAAGCTGCGCAGCGTTCCACGCTGCCCGTATCATCAATTTGACATCGTTGTCGGAGCACTTGCTCTGGTAGGCCTGAGGTTTAGATTCATGCCTTAGGCTCACAAGTGGACTCAGGTTTTATCAACGCTTCAGGGGCGTACTCAGATTTTTTCTTTTTTTTGCATCAGATTTTAATTGCGTATGCAGCTATCTAGCTATGACACAATATCAAAAAAAAGTACAGAAAAGATGACTCAGTTTACAAGAGGAGCACTCATGCCTCGAATTTCATTTGCAAGTACCACTGCGAAGTTATGGTGGCTTTTTCTTCACCCCAAGTCAACCCTCATCCGTGGATACCCACCCAGGGGAACGTCTCAAAAACCCTGAGTTATCCAGACATGCTTCCATCATCTTTAAACTTTTCTCCGCGCGAAATATGGTCTGAGGCGTCTCCTTCCCAAGTGGAGTAGGTGCGCAGGCTACTCAAACTATACCAGAGAACACCACCAGGAGGCGGATCACAGCACCGTCCATCGTCGGCTTATTTTAATAGTGTCAGATGCACTCTCGCAAGCGAAGCCTTGGCGCGCACAAAGCCCAATTCGTAAAACTCTTTGCCAAATTCGAAATTTCATGCCCGTCGATTTTGTATCCATCCTCTGTGTCATCTTGTAAACTTATCCCTCTCACGTCCATCCCAAAGAACTGTCTCCCAGATTTGCGCGCCACAATTTGCTTCCTCTGTCGGGTGTAAATATCGGCTTGGGCGTGTATTTGGTGGTCAACTGAGGCCAGAGAAGGTCGAAGAGTGGCGTGATCTTTGAGATGAGGATGTACTTGGTCGTACTCGTAGACTTGATGAGACTTGGGTAAAGTTAAACTCGTTGGGAGCGAAAAAATGATGTGGTGGAGTAATTTGAATTATTGTCTCGTGGGCCAACCTCTTTGATATTGCGCAATTTGACTGAACTTGGCTCTGGGAGAATATTTCACTCCAAGGTTCGTAGAGGACACTGCGTACAGGTGTTCAGTCTTGCCCTCCGAGAACGGATGTCCGGATATACGGGTAAAAGGGCAAATAGACAGAAAGCCGTGTCATTTGCTGGGATAATAATCATGTATAAAGTAGCTGTTATTATCCTCTTCAATCTGTAGTTCACCATAGATTGAAAATAAACTACCTCTGACCATAAGGTTGCTCAAGTGCCTATGCTTAGATTGTGGCATTTGAGACGGATATCCACACTGACATTTGGGATTAATCACTCCGGGGACTTTCCTTCGATACAGATAAGAATTGAGACCAATGTGCTCACTTCTTATCTGAACTGCAATACTGCTTTGGGCCCTACTAAGGTTCCGGTGGATATCTGAGGGTGTGTTTCGATATGTAATCATTTTTCTGCCTGATTTCTCATCTGTAATAATATTTACGGCTTTTTTCCTTTAGTATTGAAAACCGTCCCCATTAATTTTGATTTTGACGGAATATTGTACAGTGCATCTAGGTTCCAAAAGGTAAAACTTCAAACTGGGTCGTTGAAGGGATTAGCCCTGTAGACGCAATTGAGCTAGCTCGTAATAGGTTAGTTTGTCTCTCCTCCTTACCCCGCTCGCCATCAAGTATGGTCCAATCGTCTTATTCTAACAATCGCTTAGTAAAACACATTTTCGACAACATTTTTGGCTGCTTAGCCTATACAGTCACCGAAACTTCACACCACTATCAATTCATCCTCTATTCTATCAAACAATGTCTCTCCAAAGGTCTGCTTCAGAAACTAATGATCGCAAGCATCTAACTCGCCATCAATGTATTGAAATAAGAGCATTAAGAAGACTTGGCTGGACATTACATCATATTTCCGAAGAGCTTAGCTTCTCAAGAAGGCAAGTACAACTTGCGTGTGCTCGAGAGACTGAGAATGCTATACCGCGCAAAGAATGCCCACATAAATTAAGCGCGGAACAAATTGATGGGCTTGAGGCTTTCGTCCGGGAGTCTCCCGAAAATCAGCAGATGTGCTACTTGGAAGTAGCAATGGGACTCTTCAGCCACTGGGGATGCAGTGAACGTTTAATTTCTAGTGCACTCTAAAAAAAGGATACAGCAGATGCATTGCTCGGAAGAAGCCTCCGTTAAGCGCGGTGAACAAGCAGAAAAGATTGGAGTTCGCCCAATTACATTTAGATCGGAGCGATGAACAATGGAGTCGCATATTATGGACTAATGAAACCTGGGTATTGGGTGATTCTCGTATGAAACCTCGTGTCACAAGAAAAGTACGTTTAAATTCTATCTAAATCTTCCTTGTACTAACAGCAGAGTTTAGCCTGATGATGAGTTTGATGAGACTTGAATTGTGGCTCGCCATGCTCATGGGAACAGCTGGATGTTTTTGGGATCATTTTACAGATCACCAAAAGGCCCATTCCTAGTCTGGGAGAAGGATTGGGGATCAATGAGGGCCTCATCCTTTTGTGAGAGGATTTTGCCACTTTCGAATCAATTTCACTTGGAATATCCAGAAATTCTATACATGCACGACAACGCACCATGTCATAAAGCGTACTCAACAATTGAGGCGCTGCGTGAAGTTGGAATAACGCCTATTAGATGGCCACCTTACTCTCCGAACCTGAACCCGATCGAGTCATCGTGGAACATCTTCAAAGACCACATTCAGGTAAATAGTCCTGAGAAAAATGGGGTCAGGCTTGCGCGCTCCGCCACGTTGAGAACATTGCTGCAGGCCGCATGGGACTCTATACCTTGTGCGGAGCTATTGTCCCTAGTTGGCAGCAAGCGCGAAAGATGTGTAGCAGTGATAAAGGCAAATGGAGGGTACACAAAGTATTAGGATGGAGAAGACTAATACAAAACATGTAGTACGCTTTCATTTTAGTTGCGAGCCATACTGAGGGCTTCGATGTAGACTTTTGCAATACAGAACGATCATTTATGAAATAGATGTGTATTTCTAGAGAATATCATTTCATTTTTTAATTTTGAATTTCAAGTGGGGACCATTGTTGTTTCGGTTACACTACGACAAGTCAAGCGTAAGTAAGTATAGGTATATTCCAGGCTACTGTTTCGGTCCCAAGGAATATCTGATGCTTGCGCTGAGACGCCCGAAGAGGTTCCATGTCAATAATTATTACTGGGTAATGTCGTGTCAGGTCGTGACTAGTCGCGTTTCTCGTAAATATACAACTGTCAAGGGAAGAAACGCGTACAGGACGTCTAGTCATAAGAACATTGTAATTTAGGAGATATATGTAACTTTCTAGTGTCATGTGTGATTTGATCTTAACCCGTATATGGAGACTAGGTCTAGGAGAAATATGAGTAAATGACTAAGGAACGGGTATGGAAATGGTTATATATGGACATGATCTGGATGATTGGAAAAGGGATCATACGGAGCACATATCACAAGCAGTTTTACTCGATCATCTTCTAGATATTTTGTACTTTATTTTACATAACAACTCAAATATATTCACTTAAAGAAGTTATATCTTGAACACGACTTAGAATTCAATTGTCATCTTCGTCATCATACGATACCACAACTAAGTCAGACAATTGTACTTTTCCTATTGAGTTGAAAACCATCCTCGTAATTTAGACTTTTACGCAATATCAGTGGAAAGTACCCCTTCTTTGCATAACTAGTCGAGTAACTAGACATGGCCCTGCATCAAGGCCATACCAATTAAGGCATTATATACAGGGATCTAACACCAGTCATTTTGATAATTGTACTTTTGGCATCCTTAGGAGACTTTAGGACATGAAAGTATTTGAAGTTTCCTCAAATTATCTGTCTTTACCGCTAACTTCAACATAGACTAGTGCGTCTATACTAAGTCATCCCCAATCAACCTTGCCGGTCATTGCCCCCAATGGTGTTGCTCCAGATTAAGCATCTGGTGCGAAGTTACAACGACTTATCCCGTCCATTCGCTCCCTGTAATCCTCTTACATTGGGTACAGTTTCATCATTACGTACATAAAACAAATTTATTATCATAAAACATTACAACATGAAATAATTTGTTATCGTCATCCACAATCATATGATATGGAGATTTTGATCCTTGGAAAACGATTAGCTTAAAATATCAAGTCGACTATGAGTTTGCTCACTACAACCAAATATGGATCCGCCTATATAAATTGGAGCAATATAGCAGTTTTTTTTAGCTCCGCAAATGAATTCTGTAATGAGCTTTTTCTTAAAACATGAACTTGGTTCCGCCAATTTGTTAAGATTATGTTCAATGAGTTCCCATTCCAAGTAGTGGTCATTACAACGATATCCATAATTCGCAGTAGCTATTGATGACAACGATAGGAGCGCAACGAGTTGAGTAGTGATTCGGAGCATCATTCTAAACGTGGGCGTCTCTTCTTGTGCTTTACAAGTTTACGTGGGGTTTTAAAAGTTCAATTATTTCTTCGCAGCTGACACTTTGTTGGAAAAAATGGTCTGAAATTTTTCAACCTAAAATTGAGAGAAGCTCTA